GGATGTTAACCTTTTGCGTATCCGTATGCTACAAAAATGGATGCAGTGGCTGCAACCGCGTTCCCTGTCAGGCAAGCTTCTGTTTTTCGCAAACTAAAACTTGCAGTGCCGTGTCAACTGAGCCTTCTTTGAAGCTTGCCAGGGATGTATCGACTCACTTTCAACCACCGGCTTCCACGAATCAGCTTGGACAAAGCAGTATAGGGAGGCATTCGAGAGGAAGTTTTCTGGGCCGCTTCTGATCGTGTCATGGGTGTCAGGGGCTTGTCCGGGGTTGTGTCCGGGATGTCCGGGGCGTGTCCGGGATGTCCGGGATGTCCGGGGTTGTGTCCAGGGTGTGCAGTGGTTTCTTGAAAAGTTTTTGGCTGGTTTCAGTCCTCCGGTTTTCATGCTTTGCAGCACTCAGGCTCATTTTGTTTCAGGTGTTCACCTTCCGTGCTTGGGGTTTTGAGCTCATAATGTCAAGCCAACGCTTGTTTGACAGTCAAGTGCTGGAAATGGATTACCCGCTGCTCAGCCCGCTGTTCAACAGCCAGTTGGATCCGAGTCTTTGGGCTGAGGGACACACGTTAGCTGCGCCTGTTGAGCCAGCCACAGTGGACAAGTCCAGAACCTGCGGGCTGAAGCGAAAGGACGCGTCCCAGGATTTGGAGCCTGACTTTCCAAACGCTTTTGTAGAGCAGCGGCCTTCATCTACTATCGTGGCTATCCCCGATGAGAAAAGCTCCAAGAAGAAGGACCTCTGAAAGCAGTAGTCTGGAGAAGACCCTTCAAGCCAAGCTAGAATCTTCTGAGTTGAAAGTGCACGAGCTCCAAGCCGAGCTGTTGGGTTACAAAACCAGAACTGAAGAGCTCGAAATTGAGATTGCGCGCGAGCAGGAAGTGAGCAAAAAGCTGCAAGCTAGAGTTCGAGATTATGGCATGCAGCTGCTTCAGCTGATGAAGGCAAAAAACGCGTTTGTGGCTGAGAAGCACGCACGGATGATCGATGATGTGAGCTTGATCCGCGCTGCCCTGAAATGAGCATGATGAATGCTGCTGAGAAGCTGTTGGTGATGCGACCGCCTTGCAGCCTTGACGCGTAGTTTCTGCCGCTGCCCAGGGCCCAGAGGCCGTTGGGGAAGCAGCGGGCTTTGGTCGGCTTAGGGGAGTTTCTTCAGCTAGTACATTTTGCGCAGCCTTTTTCAGGCAGGGTGCTACCGTGAAGGCTTCGCGACGCGCCCAGCCGAAGGAGGGTGTCATATGTGTATATATTGTGTACACAGCTAGACAGGCACGGGATGCAGACGCCGCCGTCGGCAGGTTGTTTAGGCTAGGCAGCTTTTCCTTTTCACTTACTACCCAGGACTAGGCTCTGAATCCAAGCCAAGGGACGCAGCAGCGCAGCAAAAAAAACGGACCTCAGCATTTGTCCTTTCGTAGGCCATAACAGACATTCTCGATCTTCTCGGTTTTCTGCCTATAAGTAAAAATGTCAAACTGACGATAATTAGCTGACTCGGCCCCGTGCCTGTTTCCAAACCATAGACCGTTTTTTGAAAAACATTTTTTTTGATTGGCCGGATAGTCTCAAAGGCAGGCAAACTATGTCAGCTGCAGCTTTTCAGTGAACGGTTTGGAACCTGATAAGACCTTTAGTTCGACTCAGAATGGTTTAAACCGCTTGCTTCCGGAGCCTCATTTGCAGTAGGTGTTGGCGCCGCCGGGCTGTAGATGAATCACATATAGTTCCCGCTCCAATGGATGCCAACATGGACACGTTGTCATTACAGACTCAAAGTTTTCCAACATGGACACGTCACTCATTAAAGACTCAAAGTTTTTGGGAATACAGTCAAGGATGCGGGCCAAAACGGCAGTTTTATGAATCCACATTGGTTTGGGGAAGTTGATTGGTTGACGCCCTCCCCCGCTCTCCCCCCCGCGCTCTCCCGCCCCCCGCTCTCCCCCCCACCGCTCTCCCCCCGGCTCTCCGCCCCCTCTCCCCCCCCGCTCTNNCCCCCCCCCCCGCCCCCCACCCCCTCCAGGCAAGCGCAACAAAAGCTTTGGTAGTGACAATTTCAACGAACATAGTTATTGGGGGGGTTCCCTACTAGTGTCATACCCAGTAGAAGCAGGAACCCAGTCCGCGTCCGGCGGTGGTATAAGCCCATGTAGTAGTTGTGCTGCTACAATACAACGTGTTGCCATTCAACTTGTGTGTCTCTCAGCTTGCTGTTATGGTGTTCATGATTATTTGAAACGTATGTCTGGCTATGAACATTTTCATGTTTCATTATTATGCCGCATCTTTTCTTTTTGCTGAACCTGTGAGAGTAATTCCTATTCGTATTTTTGTTTGAACTGCCGTGGCCAGCATTGCTATCAGCTGCGACCATCGTTCGTTCCAGTGTTATTGCCACGGATTGTTGTTGCTATTGTTTCCGCTATCGTGAGTAATTTTATGATGGGACATTATTGGTACTCCCATTGTGCCTCATGTTTTCTTTACATATGTTTTTTTTGCAAAGTTTCTACCCATAGCTTCTTTGATGTAGCACTATCGTTCTTCTTACGGTTGCCAACAATCGCGAGACAAAAGCAACAGCTGTAAACAATGGAAGCACAAAGGCAAACAGTGGCAATGGAAACCCATGAATGACCAATGGGAACAATGGACAAAGTCGCGCGAAATTGGGGGAAATTGGTGAGGGTGATTTAAGTGTTTTGGAAATGATAGAGAACAACGGAAGACAAAATACAAACAGCATGCTGATGGGAAATCATTGGGCATGCGGAAAACCCAATTGACGTACTTGAAATACAGAATGAATGATCACCAGAATGCCTAAAGGCAAGACATCCTTAAGCATGCTCAAGCTAAGTTCGGTGTCTGTAGTCCAACACTGCAGTTTGATATTATTAGGTTCGGGACAGAACTGAACGCTTGGATCACCGCAGCCGCAACCTTAGACGAAGCATTAAGCTGTGTCGCAGTCGCCAGCCGCTTGCTTTAAACAATCTCGTTTTTCCGTTTGGTAGCCTACAGCACAGACGAAACACCCAGGCCTTCTTTCCATTCATGGTAGGCAAGTGCGAGGCCAGTGACTTGATGGACAACTGCTAGTCAAAGGGTAGAGGTCGTGGATGGGTTCAATGCATGAGATGGGTTAAGCAACGCGCAGCATCTTTGCATGGGCATACAGCATGCTGTATCACTGTGACGCCTGAGGGCCTGAAGATGACTCGACGCACTTGACAGGTGGAACCACGGACTGCAGAGGCTCCGTGTTGCTTACGATGTTTCTGCTTGTAGTCTGCCTGGTGAAAGTTACAGCTTGCGCAGCCACCTAGGCTGCACGTTTGGTGACAGAAGGTCCGTTTGCTGTTGCCACTGCAGGACATGCAGCAGATACCACCCGGAGAGGCCATGGGATTGAAGCAGGGTTGATAACAAAACCTGTTATGGTAACCTGTTTCTGCAAGGCATGACAGCCAAGCAAAGTTGTTTGAAGTCGAAAGCAGTCAGATTCTGATCATCTTGGAATCCCCCCAAAATGCGGGTCAGTGATCATGCTTACAACGAACAGACACGAGTTTGCATGAATAAAGATGGACCTTGCCATTTGCGGCTATAGTATACTCTGCAACTTGCCATTCACGCCCGTATAATGCTCTGCACTTCACTTCGGCTATTCATGGAGCGGTCCTGGGAGACCCTGGAAGGCTCTCAGAGAGGCCCTGGGTGGGCCTGGCTGTGTAAAGTGCTGTTGCACAAGTTACAACAATTACAAACGTACGCAGTAGCCTACAGCACTAACACCGGACGCCCCCAGCGTACGCTCGTGTGTGTGCGTGAGTGTGTGCGTGAGTGTGTGCGTGAGTGTGTGCGTGAGTGTGAGTGTGGGTTTGAGTGAGTGTGTGTGTGAGTGAGTGAGTGAGTGAGTGAGTGAGGGTGCTGGGAGGGGGGTGAACCGAAATCCTTGATACTAAGCCAGCGGTGTACGTCACGTTCATTGCACGCGCATGTTTTCTGCATCTTCAGACCTAGACCTGCAACAGTCCTGGAACTGTGCGGTGAAGATCGAGAAGTGTCGTTGGCTCGAGAGGCCATGCATCTAATTCGGACTGTGTTGCACCTTGCCATGAAAAAGTGCCTGCATGGTCGGCATTGTTACTGTCACGTACTGTCAGCTTGTCAGCCTAGCTGCAGGCTCAGGAGATCTCAGGAGTCCGACTGGGTGACTAGGCCATGTTGAGCCTTCAGAAGTAGAGGCCTGCAATGTTCTCGAAACGGAGCGCGAGCAGGTCCACCAAAGAAGGCAAGGAATCTCATGGTGAAGTCGAGGGTGGCTGCGGAGAGAGACGACCGTTTCCTCATCTAGCATCATGTAGCCGCGATGACCGAATCAAGAAAGCGGCATATCTTTTGTTGGAGGCACAGAGAGCTTCCGCAGAGCAAAAGCAGTTTTTTGACACCTGGCTGAGAATGGTATTTGATGAGGCTGTGGCAGCCTCGACTGAAGGATCTGCGCAGCTAAGAGTGCCAACGGACCTTGAGTCCTTCGAGCTAAGCATCAGAGCTCCAAAGGAGCTGATGTTGAGGCTCGCAAATCGTTTTCTCGAGGCTTGCAAAGTCCCGGACTTGCGCATGCTGCAGCAGTTTGCGCAGCTGCAACGGGAAAGACTAGATGTTCCTGAAGTGTCGTTGTGGTGCCGGTTGAAGCGGCTAGGAAGTGATTGCCCGGGAGTGGACGCTGGTTTCCACCTGGACCACTCCCTGGAGTGGCTTGTCACCGACATCGTTGTTCCCAAAAGCGAGGACCAGGCCGCACTGCGCAACAACGCCATGTCTCATCGCCTCGTCCCCTTTGCATACGGTGCATCTCTACTTCCCCTGGAACCGGAATCCTCTCTGACCTTCGACATGGAAACAGGATCTATGAAGTCTTCGATCCTTTCTGCCCTATTCATGTTTGGTGCTATGGGTTTTGAAAAGCCCGAGGATCTGGGTCTGACTGCAATTACACATGTGGATGCTATGAAATGCTGCCTGCTGGCTTCACTTGGGCCAAAAGGTTTAACTCGAATGGCACTACGGTTTGAGAAGCCCCAAGCTTCCTGTGTCACAGACTTGACATCTGCATGCAACATCAAGATTCAGACGGATGTTCTGAACGATTTAGAGACAGAGTTGGACAAGACGCCCAGCTTTGTCGAGTATGCAGCGGAGATGCGCGGCTATACTGTTGCGGTGGGGTACATTGTCTGAGGTGAGCGACGAGCAGACTTGAGCTTAAAAGTGCTTCTCCAAGCTCAAGCATGTCTGTTTGAAAGGGTAGCGCAGCGAGCAGGAATCTGCCCATTACAGTCATCTTGGTTGCATGTGACCTCTTGCAGACACTTGCATACTGCATACTGTGCTGCAGGAGTGGCTGCGTGGGAATGTGCGGCTCTCCTGGCAACACACGGTCACAGAATGCTTACGACGCGCCTTTCAGGTAGCTGCCTGCATCTTCTCAGGCGCTGGCCTCTGCAAGCGGCCGATGCAGCGAATGTTCGGAGAGGTCCGGGGAAGTGCTCAGACCCTGAGAGTTAAAAGCCTTGCCAAAGGTCCTGGGCATGCCCCTCTCCATGGAGCCCAATCTCGAGGACAGAATGCTGCCCATGATTGCTTCTGCCAAACTCACGGAGCCACCATTGGGATGGGCAGATGCAATGCCTGAAGGACTTGAGCTGTGTCATGGTCTTCGGCAAAGATCCGGAGCCTTGGGACCAGGCTGCTGAGAAGTGCTCCCGAACAACGTTTCAAAATGGCCCTGCTGTGGCAGGATGATCTGCGAGAGCAGCCTTGTTTTAAGACGTGTGCAACTGCCAGGCCTTGCTGTGCTGTGATTCACTGCTCAGTCCGGAAGTCCGTGTCAGTGGCATCATTATCGCCTGCCCTGGATTACTTGATCATACAAAGACACGCAGGATGAGTGGCGCTTGTCACAAGCTGTCATGACAGCCGTTTGCGTCAAAGTGAGTGAAAAGTCCTAAAGCTTCGCATGATCACCAGTGCACGCTGGAATGCAGGGCTACCTCAACTTTCGCCACCCGCTCAAGCTGCAGAAGGTAGAAACAGCATCAGGCATCGCACACGTCGCTCCCCACCTCAAGGCAGCGGCAGCATCCATGACTGCTGCAGGCTATCAGAGCAGCCATAGCAACTAGCCACGATTGCCCAACATCACACTGCAGTTGCAAGAAGCAGGACAATTAGCTTAGTCTCGGCATAAGAAAACTTGAGGAACCAGATGAACAGATGAAAAGACTTGTACGAAGGTTGCATTCCTGCATCTTCGGATGCCATTTCAAGAGGTACAGGCGATAAACTTGTCAGACATTCCACCGAAGGAAAGCTTGCAATAAGCACATGCTGCACTGCGTTGCTGCTGCTGCAGTCAGGGGGGATGGTGCCACTTGGTGGCATTTCTTTCCAGGAAGCTGTCACGGTGCGGCCCTGCCAGCGTAAGCCAAACTTTCCAAACACGTATCATCAACAAAAAACCATAAAAAAAAGACTCGTGCATTTCCCAATTGTTTTCGTGATATACCGTAGGCCTTGTTGTCGGCATCATCGTGGTGAGGTCCACAGGAGAGCTCGACGATGCGGCAGCGGGCCGAGACGAGCAACAAGAGTTCGCACTTGCCGTGATCAGACCTGCGTCACGGGGTGAATCTCAGGTGGCCTCGTGGGGTGTTTCAAAAGCCGTGGAGACGAGCCAGGCTGTGGAGCGCGCTCTTTGGCAAGCCGCGATTGTTTTTTGCTTCCAGCATTTCCAGCAGTGGCTGGCAAAACCTTAGCAAGCGTTCACAAATGGATGCGGGACCTTGGGATCTCAATCTGCAAGTGCAAGGTAGGATGCTCAGCGGCCGCCACTTGCCTTTCCATACGTTTGTTTTGGAACGGAAGTGCCTTGCACTGCCACAACGACCTGCGCTCAGCAAGGGTTCCAAGGTCAGTGTGACGTCGGTCGACCCCAAAGCCGGCACCTTTCAAGTTCGAATGGTTTGTCAGTGGGCCTTCAGAATCCTGGCAGAGCTTGGTAGAGTTCCTCAGAGTTTCCCCAGCGCTGGTACAACTGAGGAACTAACAATCCAAACAACGACACTGAGATCATTTACAGGGGAGTTCCTGGGATCCGCATTCCTGGTCTCAGCGTTAAGGTCCAGGAAAGCAGGCACCTGGTTGCAATGGCATGTCGCTGCATATTCAGGGCAGACACTAAAACAATAGCAGGCCTGATGAGGCATGTGCGGCGATGGAACCGAGGATTTGGAAGGTACTGGAGGGCAAAAGCAGCAACATCATCAAATGGAATGGCACCTCAATCTTCCTGCTTGAGGGCTTCAAGATGTATCAGCTCAAGGACGGGGTCCAGCCTTGCCGAATCTTGCCGAGAGTTGCCTTTGCATGATGCGATTTTCAGGATTTCCCTTTCGATCGCCACGTCATCCGTTTACAAAACCTGGACTTTGTGTGGAGAAGCTACAAAGATGATGACGATTTCTTTGACTCCATGAAAATCGCGCCGCTGCAAACATTGGGCGCGTAGGGGGCATGCTCGTAATCAACCACACCGTCGGGGTGGGTAACGCACGTCGGGCCGAGTGAAAGGAAGACTGCAGAATGACTGGCTTGCGTGGGACGTAGAGACTCAGAGGATTGTTGAGGTCATGTCAGCTCTTGTGTGTCGAGAACCGGCAAGGTCTTGTAAAAAGCAACAGCCATTACTTCTTGAATGTTCTTGACATGCTTTGTCCTTTGTATGGAGATACCTATGATCTTGTAGAAGCATGTTGGTAGCACCTCTAAAACACGTTGGAGTCCTGCGGAGAGCTCTAGCTGGGACAGCAACGCACTTTGACTTTAATCCGCCCAAAGACATGCGACTCGAAGAAATGTCTTCCAAGTCATGTACTGAAGAAAGCCAGTTCGGACCTCTCAACAAGAATCTCAGCTCATGATGTAGAGAAAAACTGTACTGAGACTCAAGTCAACATCTTGGCAAAAACACCTTCGGACCCGAAAAAAAACGCTTAGTGTGCAAAACTCACTCGGACTTCAGATTCCCGGCCGCTGAGCGGCAACTTGGCCCGATGTGTGTCCAAGGTGTGGTTGCAAGTAGAGTCCAAATCCAATCTGCCGGAGTGGAAGCTTGCTTCGCAACTTTACAGCCTTCTCACGTTTTTGATAGTGGCAGGCGCCGGCATATCAGCTCGCAATAGCTCGCAAACCAGGAACCCAGCTGGGCCTGTCATCGAGCCTCTTCAGAAGGCAGCCGATGGTGATCCACAAGCCAGTCAGCAGGGAACTGAGCCTCTGTCATTGTGTCCTGTCAGTTCATGACAATTTTTGGGTCGCATAAATCCGCATATAAGAATGCTTGAAAGTCATCTTCGCATGTGGCAATTAGATCGCCAGCATGAAGCAGCAAAGCCGTTCAGTACGAAATTGCAACCGAGCCAGCCTGATCTTGAGAGTATGCTGGCGAAGCCGAGCAGGGCGTCTGAATGGCGCAGACTGTTTGCGTGCACGGCTTGTCCTGCGCTCGAGGATTTCAGTGAATTGGGATGATGACGATGATGAGTCTGACTTTGCCAACAAGCATGATCCTCAGCAAGACCAACTGAAACATGCAATTCTCCCTCTCAATTTGCAGCCGGAGTGCGCAGGCTCGTATATGGTCATGTCAGGCATTCTTTGCGAGTTGAGATTCGTTTTGTTTGGATGGGAGGATTTGTTTGACCAGTGTTTCGCGGGCTTCTCTCTGGGTTTCTGCTAGAGCCCACCCGGGCAGCCTCGTGTTCCGCCAGCATTTCTTGTCGCTGTTGAGGTTTCAGATTGATCTACGAATCGAGAGAGCACACAAGTTCTATGTGCGCCAAATTTTCTTCGTCACATATTTGAGCCTCAGCTTCGGTGACATTGGCCCAAGGTTCCGAACAGCGTACGCTGTCATTGATGGCTTCTTCTAACTTTCCCCACTTTTACCTTGAGAAGCCGAGGATAACAGTGGCATCTTGTTCGCCTTTGTTCATGGGTCCGGAAGACATGGGCGATAGGTACCGAGGCCGCACCAAAATATCAGAACCAGTGGCCACTACTACAAGCGCCAAACATCGCCATAGTAAGGGGATTTTGCATGCGCACATCTCATGCCAGTCACAACACGCCTGTTTACGTGGCAGTGACGGCGGTAGTTTGGACGGTGCCCCGTCACTTTTTGCAGTCCGTGCGTTGTCAGGTCAAGGAAAGAGATGAAAGAGCCAGAACGTAGGACAAGCCTGGAGCTTGCTTCGTAATGCGGTCGCCTGCGAGTTACGTTTTTGCCGTGTGTAAAGCCGAGTCTAGATCATTCTATATCCTTGTACAGCCCATGTAGTCTATCAACATCTATCAACTGTCAACAGTTCTAGGATATCCAGCGATATCCAGAGAACGCAATTGCAAGCAAGAAAGGCTGAGTGTTTACGGTGGGGGCCTGCTGACGCTCGTGGCCTTCAAGTACGGGGTCATGGACCACCTCCCCAGCGTGCCCTATTCGACATTCACGGACTCATTCTTGATGCTTGCAAGCATTGGCTTTCGTCGCCTATTTTTCCATTTCCATTGATCCATTCTTACAACCCCAGCTGCAGCAGCGTGCAGCAGTACGCAGCATCATGCAGCTGAGGTTGTGGCAGCTGATCACAATAACTCTTTGTACCTTTGAGTCACTGATCGCTTATCGCCTGAAAAGCTACAACGAGGACACCAGGTGTTGCTTGCAAGGGCCTTTGGTGGGAGCTGACGAACTTTTAACAACAGCATGTCATCCATCTCTGGGAGGACACTTGAGCTCTGCCAGAACCCTTTCCTGCAGCAATTCTTTCTTAGGGGAGATCACCAGAAAATCCCCGTTACTCAACAAGCTAGCCACACGGATCTTGTCCCAAGATTTCATTGTACAAAACAGCCAGTGCGTCGCAGATTGTACCAGCAGGGGTAGAAGGGCCAGAGAGCGCATGGTCAAGGCAGGATTTAGCCTATCACATCCTAGCGCTTGCTCTGGCTGGCACCGTTGACAAAATGGATTGTGGACTGGACTAGTTCAACCGTCAGGAGGGATCAAATATGGCCTGAGTACAGACCCTTCGCGACAGAACCTTTGAAAAAGAGACCAAAGACAAGAAGCACAGGAGTAGCACAGGCAAAGGAAAAAAGACAGATGCGACATTCAATCATTTGCGCTCACGAAATGAAGATGCATCAAACCTGCGACTTCCGCGGTACCCTGTGTAACAGCTGCCTGGCGTGTCCACCGAGACTGAAACCTTGGGCGACAAGCTTGTCCTGAGACGCGTTTGGGCTTTTGGAGGTGGGTCTCAGTTTCTGGTCTTCAGGCAGTCAGGTGCTTCCACGGATGTTTGCGTGAGGCAACCGTACTGTAGCAGCCGGACTTCTAGCAGGCGCAGTGTCAAGCTGTCGAAAGAGGCAGGTGTCAAAAGCGGGCTTCTTGTCACCGTCTTCTGCGAAAGACCTGCAAACACAAATTGTTCTCACGATCAGCTGGAACGATGCATCTCCTGCGCGGTTGCTTGCCACTGTCTTCAATGTGATCCTACATATTATATGGTGATTGACATCTTTGCTTGTGCCCGTTGCTCAATAGTTTGACGATTGCTGCAGTTCCAAAGGGGGCTGCGTCTGCGCCCTCCAAAGCGGTACACGAGACCTTGCACAGAACAGGAGCAAGCTTTCCTGGATTGTTGTGAGCCCGACCAGAACGTCGCATATCGCGTTGGGCTGCGGGAGGCGCCAGGCCTGCCGTAGCAGCCATAGAAAGATTTTACAACTGCTGCTTTGATGGCAAACGATCCAAAGGGACCACTCAGCATCGCTTGGCTGTCTGCTTCATAGTCATCGCTGCTGTGGCCACGAAAGTTTTCTTTCGTGTTGAGTCTTGACTCAAGCTCTCGTATTGAGTCAAGACTCAACCTGCGCAACGCTTACTCACCTTCACAGGTCGGGGGTATGACCTGGGGAGTTTAGCAAAAAGCAGCTCTGCAAGCTTCCGCACAAAACTTCACCAGCGATTCGTGGTTTCACAAGGCATGGGCATGTTGCTCTGCATTGCTGCTCATTTTGCTGCTTTAGTAAAGTTTCTCGTGATTCAACCTCTCCTGCCGCCGCAGCGATGCTGTTGGCAAAACAAGTTACAATTGTCCAGTCCCACACTGCAGTAGACTGCATCGAAGTGCAACTTTTTGATGGCTGGCTACAAAAGCAGTCGAAACAATCATCGAAAACTACGCGATGCCACTCGCACTCTCCACCATGGATGGGGAACTTTTTGGTACACTCAAAGCACCTCTGCCATGAAGGTGATCTTGTTGTATTCGCAGGCTGAACCATCAGCCGCCTCGGACATTGTTTGCCATCCCCTTGATATACCTTCGCATGCAAGGCTCACTTTACCTCCTTCAGTATCGGAGCTGGCAGCAGCTGCTTTGATCAAGGCGTTCAACACCTCTGTCTTGCTGCGGGTCCGAAGGTATGGCTGCCCCACACTTTCACCACGTCTGCAATCGCCCGGAGCAGAGACCAGCCAAAAGCCATCATTGCAAGAGTCACGTTGAAAGCTTCACCTGAACCCCTAAAGTATGTAACATAATGGTCTTTTGGGCTGTTCGTAGGGGTTCTGGGCCATTGTTTTGCCTACTTTGGGGGTTTAGGCAAGGGGAAGCGTTCATGCATGTGTTGTTTGTCATCGGTCCTGCATTCGCGCCACAGATTAGATTTTGCAGAGGTTCTGGGCATTGCTTCCGAATTTATTTCACGCCACGTATGTTGCTTACTGCCGTGGCTGCAGTGGAGCCACACATGGGCACATGTCCATGTCAATCTTTCGGCAAACTAGGGTATGGGGAAAGACCCATTGACCGCCAAATCTATGTTAAAGACAATTTACAGATGTGTCAAGGGTTGTTGGTCTGGTCGCCATCTTCAGTGCTCATGCCATGATTCCGTTTCCGCCTTGCTCTTGTTCCGTCACGGACAAGAGTTCGCTCTATGCCGACCCGCTTCAATAATCACTATTCCCCATCAGAGTGTTGCTGGGCATCCTTGGTAAAGAAGAAGGCTGTGCCCTACAGGCTGACACTGGCTGACACCGGGAACGATGAAGCGAGAACTTGCTTATGACGCGAAAGTTCAAGCTAGGTTCCAGATGTCTTCATCTTTTGGCATTCCAACCTGGCAGCTAGCACAACAGTGCCATGACACAAAAGACTGCAAGGGTTGTGAGGTCTCTTGAAGATGGACTTCGCTTTGTATGGCAGGAGCTCATCGACTGGATCGAAAACATCACTTTCTTCTCTGCTACCTGACGCTAAATAAATTCCTTCAAGATCAGTTAAGCCATGGACCACCTGCGACAGCACTAGGAGGGCAGAGCTAGGACAGCGCTTCTACGTGTCATAACTACTGGCACAGCATGTAATGTAAGAGCGAGTAGGAGGAGGGAGTAGAAAAGGACATGTTAGAAAGACTGCAGAACCCAGAATCCACCCTTGGACAGGTTATTGCAATTTGGACATTAACGTTGATGATTGTTTGGTGCTGCAAATCGCGCTGCAGAAAAGATTGGGATCTTGTCACAGAGATGCTGGCCGGCAATCAGTATCTTGTCTCTCTATCGCCTTCAGCGGCCATATCATATTATAAATGCATGACTGTTGAAAGTAGCGTCCCCATGCGCCTCGCTAGCTGATGCCACCATTGCTGGCATGGTACAGATTGTAATGATCCAGGCAAGTTTCGCTTCTAGGGCAGGGGGTCAGCAAGTTGTGTAGACGGCACAGAGTCTCAGAGGAACGGAGGGGGGAACAAAGGGCTAGTGAGATGGCATGGGCCCGTTTTCTTCACAAAGCACAGAAGCGCAGGCATTTTGGTTTTTCCTTCCGCTACCCATATGACCTATGGTCTAAACTCCTCAAGTGGGTCATATAGAGTTATATTGGGGAGTATTACAGGTGTTATTAAGGGGGCTACCAGGAGTTTAGACTATAGCTCATTTACATTCAGTGCTTGTAAGGAATGATGATGATCCCATGAGGGTGCCAAAGAATCTGCCATCCTTTTTTTCCCACAGCAGCTTGGCCTGAAATGTGGCGCACATTCCGTAGCAAGATGTGTGCAGCGCGCCTCTCACACCTGCAAGCAGTGTACCATGAAATACCCAGCTTGTTTCCCGCATCGCTGATGTTCTTTGCAGGCGAGTTCCAGCAGATGACATCCCCAAGCCGAAAAGGCAGGGGATAGGAGTCTGGCAGCAAGAAGATGAAGTGAGCAGTTCTGTGTTCTCACAAGCGGGGCCCCAGACTTGCCGAATTTGGCAATTGCTTTCACCTGCATGACTCCTCCGAAGGATGCGAATAGCAAGCATCTGGAAACGCTCCACCTGTACCTACAAGAAAAGCTTTCATGATGGCACCTGTAATCAACATGTGTGGATGGAAAGTTCATGGTGAATACCGGAATACCGTCTCTGCGCAACAAGTTTTCTGGGGAGCGGAAACTGCAGCAGACTGACCCATTGTCATGAAATGGCCTGGCAAGTCATTTTGGCTCCAGCTATCTGGTAGCGGACCCATGAAGGATTCGTAGAGCTCCCGCGCTCAGAGCACCCCACTGAGTCTGGTGCTTAGCAAAGCACCAGCTCCAAGTGATATGCCAAGGTTATGTGTTTCCATATTCGCTGGCCCAGGCTACTGCAGTACTCCGACGAGATACCCCTCCAGTTCAGTTTCGCTGTCAGGAGATGCTCCATTAGTCAGCCTTGGACGTTGTAATTACATGACACAGGCGAGCATCATATGCCACCAGGACACAAGTAAAAGCATTGAATGTCCAAACATGGAGATCAACGAGGCGAAGAGGCGTTACACCTGCACCAAGTCAGTCGTTGTTAGGCTGTTTTGCAGCACATGTAAGGAGGCTTCATCGGACTGCGGCCAGCCTGAGCTACAGGACGAACTCTTTTTTTTTGTGTTCTGAATATCTCACAGCGTTGATCCGCATGTTCGGGCCTTGCAATCACTTCCATTTGGTTTTGGAGCAGACAAGGGTACCTACCGGATCAGAGGCATCTGGGTTGTTTTGTGCACCAGGGCTCATCAGTTGCAGCCTTACGAATTGTTACAGCAGTCTGCCGAAGCTGTGCGACTAGGATATCATCGATCAAATTGGCATGGGCCCAGCGCAAATCTTCTGGGGAATCCTGGGCGGTGGCGTTTGGCTGGCTGATGGTGCTGAGCTGCTCTTGGTCAGTTCCGTGACGAGGCCAGCGCCAGACTTCAGTCAGGGATCGGATGCCAGAGGTCAGACAGCGGCTCCCGTCCCATACATGAGTACTGATACTGAAGTTTTCACGCCACTTTTGCGTTGCATGCGGCTGTTTCCTTCTTGACAGTGGGCATTTGGGGGTGCCCCACTTGGGTGATGCTGTCGTGGGGCTAATAATTGTCAAGTTGTTGCCAAAAGTTGGCTAAATCTTGCAGAGTGATCCTCAAGCCTTGGAGCAGACAGTTGTCTTTGCCATCAAAGACTGTTTGCAATAGCTGGGTCTGTGGCTGAGTCCCTGTGCCGCAGCGTGAATGGTATATGATGTGTATGGGACCTGTATCCACCTGCTCAGATTTTGATGTCCGCTACTTGTAAGGGGCCGTGGTGCCTGACTTGAGCTTCGAATGATGCGCTGCTATGTTCCCGCCCTTACCATGACATCTTGCCTTGAGCCTGTCGATTGCGTCTGACTTGTCAACTCAAACTGGTCGAGGGGCTGACGTTTCCGTATACAAAGCTGACGAACGCAGAGGTCATGGCAACATTCTGCATGATTCTGCATCTGTTCTGCTGTTGGGAGAGCTGGCAGAGAGGATGTGGAAGTCCGGGGTGCCCTTTGCCCATTTGCCAACTTTCAGCAGTTGCTTCAAACCCATTATCCGCTGCACTCTGCGACGAGGTCTCTGCAGAATGAATGGCATTTGACACCGTACATGAAGGGTATGATTGCGCCCTGCCCGCTTCAATTCAGAATGGCATCTGATAATGCAGGACAGAGAGTCGTGGAGCAGACGCTGTGTACCCTGAGGTTTCAGCAGTGTACCTGGGAATTCTCATAGGCAATTATTCAAGCGGACCGTGCAGCCAGCGCTTTGGACGGCGGGAAATGATCGTCGCATCGTTGTGCACTTAGCTGACGTTTGTGTGCGATATGCTTTGCACATGTTTTCCGACAGCGCTTAACCGTGTCCGATGACGCTCATTCTTAAATCTCCTTGTGAAGCGAGGTATTCTGGAATTTTTCTCTGTGGAATTCTGAGCTGTGCAAGTGCTTCTGCCTATGAGTTTCTGGCCATCAGATTTCTTGGTGGCATCTTCATCGGCGTAGGCGAGGAGTCAAAGCAAATTGATATTTGCTTCTGTTCGGGAAAGACAATGTGGGATTTGTTGCAAGGCCAGCCCGCTTGGCTGGCGATCAGCTCTGAAGTTACACCGGCGTATTGGAAAGTCGCCATGGCTGCTGCATCACAGTCGCTTTTCGTCTTTGGAGAAATGTGGCTCTGCTGGATCAATGGCCACTTTATGTTAAGATTATTCCTCACATTTCTGCGGGGTTCTAGTTGTTAGATGTAGCATCGCCCGCCATGCACGCGTGCTGTTCCGTCGCGCAAACATTTTGGACGCGCCCCCCGTTTCTTCAAAATTGCGCTCTCGCTCGGAGCATCCAAAAAAACTCGGATTTCGGTGTTGATTGGTCGGTCCAAGAAATCGGCGACTTTGCCTTTAAAG